GTTTAATCAAATTACATAATTAAAATAACAAGCACAACTTGAAAAAAAACAGGTTGAGGATCTAACACAACTGACTCACGGTTAGTGTGCGTTTCAGCTGGCAACAAGGAGAATAGGCCTGGCAGAGACCAGCCAAAGTGCCAGGATGTGCAGAGCAGTGCATGTGTTTAACAGTGGGGATGAAGTGTTAGTGAATCAGGTCGTTGGTGATACGGAGGTTGTTTAAGGGAAATTCTGTTATAACTAGGCCAGTCATATCAAAACCATGAACTTATGCACTGTTGGTCTGAGTTACTCCTTTCATCCTGACACACCCCAGAGGTCTTCCTCCTTAGACACGTTCATGATGCTTCCCACCCCCCAGGTCTCCACAGAAGATGTTAAAGATGCAATCGATAAAACTACTTTATGTTAATAAGATAATGTAAATTACAGGGGAGTCTAATTCCCTGTAATTTTTAACTAGAAACTTTTGGTAATAATGTTCCTGCATTTTTTCCGTAGCAACTCACAGACTACTGATTGTGTGCCCCAATAATCATGAAGTAAACAACCACTAAGTGTTTGATTTTAATATGATTTTCCTAATAATAAGTTATGAATCAGGCATTTATTTCTCTTATTGATTGATTGATCTTATTAAATTGATTGATCTTATTAAATTAATGGTAATTAATTGTATGTAATGGTACTCTTACATCAGATGGCCATACTTAAGTCCTTTTCCTTGAGAACAGAGGAGGAAATGAGAGGAACCAATGATCCCTTCCCCCACTTTGAATATCTTTTGCCAGCACTGATTTGAGGATGAACCTCCTTATTTCCTGGCACTGTTACTCATTCCCCACCTTCTGTCTCATTCCTCTTCTCTTATAGAAACTCAGCTTAGAAGAGTCGATGTGTAATCTTTCATTTCACCTTTCCTGAGTTGATTTAGACACATGAATTATGGGAAAGTGCATGATGTTATGTTGTATATGTATTTGTTTTTCAATTTACATAAATGGTGTTGTGTATATTTCATTCTGGTTTTTTCCACATTCTTATGTTTTTAGATGGCTATGTATGAATCCAGTTCATCACTTCTGACTCTCAGAAAGTATGCTTTTGTGTATGTGTGCAAAAGCACACACAGACACATGCATGTGCACACATATATTTTATATTTTAAATCTCTGTTCCTCTAGGGATAGTCACTTAAGCTGTTCTTCTTTGCTAACATAAAAAATTCTACAATAAATATGTGTGTGCATTTCTAATTGAGCAGCTATGCAGAAATTTGCGGGGTCGAGGGAGGAATACCCAGGAATAGGTTAATTTTAATAACAACTCCCGCCATCACCAGAGGAATACTTCAGCAATACTTGATATTATCTCATCATTCTGGCTATACGTTGTTCACTATAAATTGCTCTTTTTATTTAATTTGCATTTATTTAATTAATAGTGAAAATTTAACTGTCGGAATTTCCTTTTCTCTGAATTGCCCTTTAATATGCTTTGCTCCGTTTTCTGTTGTTTTTTTCATCTCTTTGGAGTGTGTGTGTGTGTGTGTGTGTGTGTGTGTGTTTGTAATAACCCCTTGTATATTTCACATCAGTAGTTCTCAGCTGAACTTGAAGTACCCATATGTCTTGTGAAGGCAGGGACCCCCCAAAGTCCCATCCAGGAAGTTCACAGGTCAACACTATTTCCATAATAATTATAAGATTTTCTTTGCCACCTTCACTGTGTTTACATTTGTACTGTTGCCACAGAACAATGGTGAGTAAAATTGCTGGAGCCTTAGCACAAATCAAGACAGTAGCATCAAACTGTACTAGTAGTCTTTGTATTCACCCCCATTATGCAGACGCTGGAGGCCAAAAAAAAAAGAAAACTCCAGCTCATTTAAGAATGTCCTTGATGAAACAGTAACGATCATTAATTTTATTAAATGCCGATGTTGGCCATGTCTTTAATATTCTGCGTGATGACATGGGAAACACACATAAAGCACTTCTGCTGAGTACTGAGCTATGAAGATGATCTCGAGGAAAAGCACTTGGGAGATTGTGTGATTCGCAAGCTGAACTACCCCCTCCTTATTTGAACATGATGTTTACTTCAGAGAACAACTGACAAACCATGACTATTCATACCTGGATATTTGGCAGATATTTTCTTGAAAATGAACAAAGTAGTCCTGCCACATTAAGGAAAACAACTGACAGTATTTGTTGCTAGATATAACTTGAAATTTCAAGGGAAAATTAGAATTTTGGAAAAAATGTAACTGCCAGTGTGAGCTTGAGAGCTTCCAGTGTTTTAAGATTTTTTAATGAAATTGGTGGTGATATTAATGAATGTCACTTTTTGATATTATATAATAAAATGTGTAATCTTTTAGAGAGTCCACATAGTTCCGTGAGTCTATATTTTCCAAATGACCAATGCGTGATTTTACAAAACCATGCATGGGTAAAAGACCCATTCAAAGTGCAAGATAAACCAATGGATTTTAACATAACTAATATGAGAAGTTCACTGGTAGATTTCAGATTCCACACTCCAATAATGCTAGATACAGGAGAACTCAAAAGCCTAAAACCTAATAATTGCTAATAATCCCTGAACCAGTATTCTATGAATCACTTTTTGGTTGTTATTTTTTATTTGATGAAAACAGTACTGATATTTAATTACAAATACCTACTAAAAGTAGATTCCACCCAAGTTGGGTGCTATTTACTCTCTGGAATTCCAGCTCCTTGAGATATATATTCAGAGCTTGTAAATATTAGAGCAAACAGGAATCTTTTAAAACATCATTTCTGATATGACTTAGAGAGAAACATGTACTCAGATTTTCATTTTTTGATTGTTACATAATTTAAGCTTCAGAAAATTAGTCTACAGCTCATCAGCTAAAATTCTAGCAGAGATAATTTGGCCATCTACAAGATAAAAGATAATGAAAAAGGAATGTTCAGCAGTATCAAGTGTGGAATTTGGCTTCCAAAATGGGAGGAAACATGATTTATAGTGTCCACTGTTTATGTTATATATATTAGAAAGATTTAGACTATGAAGAGTCTCCATTTGAAAAAAGAATGCTATACCTACGATAGTGGAAGAATATGGCTCTTTCATAGCAATGTGCTCATTTACCTAACATAGAGATAAAGCCTCTTTCAGAGGTTACCTTTACCAAATCTCACAGTTAAAATTACAAAATCACCCTTAGAGAACTAGTTGAGATAAAAGAGTAATAAGTAAAATTTACCTTCATGGGGAGTATTCTTTTATTTGTACCTCCAAACAAGAATGAGACATCAAATGTATTCATGTCAGTAATTTTGATGTTTAAGTATTAAAATGAGAAAAGCAAAATCAGATATATGAGTCAACTCACTTCGCACTGTTGCAGAAAAAAGGAACCACAGGCCCAGAATTTAAAAACAAAAATGTTGTTTATAGGTTTGCTTTACAAGAGTGAAACATGGGCATATGCTCACCAGTCAGAGGCTGGGGACCATTCACCCCAGTTCTTTAACTCATCCAAATTCCAGATTTTCTTTATACATGAGTAAGACAGAGACTCGTTTTATGAGCACTAGTTGGAGAAGAACCATCAGAGAGGGAAGATGAGACTTAGGGAAACTCAGAATAGAGAGGAAGGTGGACCATGCCATGTTAGCAACCTTTCAGAAGCTTGAAAGGGCACTGGCTACATGCAGGATTCAGGATTGCCCTTAACACATTAACACATTTAAAATCTATAAATCCAGGGAAATAAAACATTGTAGGTCTTTTAATGAGTCACAGTGTTTGTCTGGGGTGGGAACTCTTTAATGATTGCTTTCATAGTTCCAATTTTTGACTTTTTAAATGTATGACCTGTTTTTAATCATATAAAAACAAAAATTCTAGAGGCGCTGGTTTCTTCATGCACATCCTCCGCCATTTCAAATGTTAACTCTTATAGTTCCGTCAGAGAGTGGAAAATCCTTATCACTTACATGAATCTGAAGATTTTCTGGTTTTCTCAGGAAATGGTCTCTGAATTATTAACAATATTATAGTATAACAGATTTAAATTATTCTGATTTGTAATTGGTGGAGAGGAGAGCTTTATAGTGATTTGTCAAGAACATTGAAACAGTACCTTTCTACTGAGCTTAAGATTTTATAGACATCATAAAGGCATTTTAAAGTGAATAGAACAATTTTTAATGTTTGCCCATATATGGAGAAAGTATTTTTCTTACATGGTAGCATTTAATGAATGATTATGTTGTGTCAAAAGGAGATTTCTATTTAAATATGAGAAAAATGTTGAAAAATTTATTAGGTGACAATTATGCTGCAGCAAACTATTGTAGGGTGATTTGGAATGGAGAGAAAATATCAGTTAGAACATCTCCATATAATGAAATGAGAAGTATTTGGTGAAAAACCCTCCATGACCAGTGTGTACTTACACAACCCATAGCAGAGACTACAGTATAAAGATTGAGAAACTGAAGATACTTTTGTACTTGTTTTTTGCCATCATTGTTGTCTTTATCTTTTCTTATTCTAATACTCAAACTTCTCAAAGAGGTTTGCATGTTTTATTTTAATGGAAATTTCTTGAAGGCTAAAGCAGTTGAGACACATTAACAGTTATATTGACATTAGTTTCATAGTAATGTCATTGAGGTTATTTTGAGAAGACAACATTCTCATTTTTTACTTTGCTAACTCATACTTACATATCATAATCAACCAAATGCTTTCAGTACTTATATTTTGGGGACACATTGCCCTTTTCAAATCTTGTTCCTACATATTGCTTTACTTAAAAAAAAAAGTATACCATCAGAGAAAGACATTTTGAAGCTAAGCTTGATATATGCTTGTTTTGTATTATTTAAAATCTTTACTAATAAATAAAAATGTTCCATTTTCAAATTTGATGTCAGCATCATTATCCTGAAAGCAATGAAATTATAGTTGATTATGCCTTGTCTCCTCAGATAAATTTACAAAGAAAAATGAGAGTTACTGGTGTGATTACTCAAGGAGCCAAGAGGATTGGAAGCCCAGAGTATACAAAATCCTACAAAATTGCCTATAGTAATGATGGAAAGACTTGGGCAATGTACACAGTGAAAGGCACCAATGAGGATATGGTAAGACTTACATGACATTATTAATTTGAAAGTAAACTCCCATAAATGATCGTGGATTACCAAATGATTACTGAATATTCAACAGAAGTCTTATGCTGTTGAAAATAAATTTGATTCTTCTAATCGGACCAGTGGTGTGGAGAGGGTACGGTGTTATCCCAAATTATCAATGTACAGTAGCTACCTTTTAAATCTTTCTCAGATTTTAACTGGTGGTCCTATAAACACTTTATCACAAGGTTAGCATAGTCCTGTGTATGAAATTAAGTTTTATTTTAACAACAGTCAGCTTTCAATATTTCATTTTATTGTTTTGACAGATTAACACTCTCCTTAATCAAATAAATACAGATCAAAACTATTATTTTTAAAGAAAAAATATAATTTTTAAAGAAAAACACAAAGTTATAGAAAACATAAATATCTTTATATAGTTCATATTGGAAGAAAATTTTGTTATTTAGCAGAATAAAATATTTTAGAAGAAATGGATATAATATTCTATGTCTCCTTTGCCTTTTCATATGATATTTCTAATTTTTTAATTAGTTTTACTCCCAATTTTTAATTAAAAAAAATCAGCACTGCAGCTCATTCCATTTAAAACTGAGTCATTAGACTAGACTCTCATATATTTTATGAACGATTTTTTAAGTTACCTTCTTAAATGAATTTAAATAGGTTTTCTGATTACCAGGTTATGTAGAGGGTAAAATGAGAGTGAGATTTAAAGGAATTAAAAATAACACATTTTAGCACTTAATTTTTAGAGAGAAATTAGCTTTTCACTGGAGATATATATGAAGAATTAGGAGTCTCTTATCTGGGACAGACTGATAAGGAAGTAATCTTGAGGAATCAGACCCTAAAATGTCATAAATCTGATCACAGTATTAGAGAAACTGAGTGATCAGGAAGCAATAGTGAAGACTGGTTCCTAAAAACAAAATGAAACAAAAAAACTATAATTACTAAGTAGCAAAATGAGCAGACAGACCCCTGTCCCAGATTAAGTTGAAAGATTAAGGTAGTCTGAAGGACTGGCCTTAAATTGAAACGACCATCATAGTAGGGTATAGATTAAGCCATAGGTCACAGTGGTTTACAGCTTTAATGAGGATTCTGTCTATAGGCCTGTTGTCATTTTTTAGGGAAAAAAGCATTATATTTTATTTATATCAATAGAAGAAAAATAAAATACTAAGGTTGTAGAAAGGTATTAAATATTGAATTTACAGAAAATTATACTTATATTCACTTCTCATGGCAAGGTGCTTTCTAAATGCTCCAGACCCCTAGATTATTTAATCCAATCTTTGAGAGATTACGTTGTGTATGTAGGATATAGGGTCAATATATGAAAATAGTTTTTTAAAAAAAGCTGTTGCAATTAATAATTTTAAACTCTATGTTATCTCTTTTCATAGGTGTTCCGTGGAAATGTTGATAACAACACACCCTATGCTAACTCTTTCACACCCCCCATAAAAGCTCAGTATGTGAGACTCTATCCCCAAGTTTGTCGAAGACACTGCACTTTGAGAATGGAGCTTCTTGGATGTGAACTGTCAGGTGAGTCTCATATTATGTATTTCTGTACTCTCTTTAAAGGAAAAAAAAGTATATTTGTATGTAATGTGTTACGAACTTGCAATTTTTCAGCACTCGTAGATGTTCATTTCTGCTACAAAATGTCTAGGGCTTGGTTCAATGAGAAAGAGAGAGAGGAGGATAAACAAGTTCTAAAACACGCTACAGAATAGAATTAATGTAGAAGGGGCAATGTATTTCTTTGAGTGGTCAAAGAAAGTACAACAAATTTTCATTGGAAACTTTTGTCAAATATAAATGTGCCTTCTTGATTTTAATAGTAACTATGATTTATGTTTTATGACAAAATTTCAGTAAAAACTGGAATCTGCCTGACTTCATAAATTGCAGTTACATTTAGGCTATATGGCATAGAAAAGTAAGCTTTATCTTTGTACCTCTACCATAAGAATTTAGTTTTGTCTTTTTTTTTTTTAGGTTTTATGAAACATGTAAATTTATCATTGCTTCCAAGAGACAATACTTTACAACCAAGATTGCTACTATAAATTCATTCTTAGATCATTCTTCTCTAACAACCTCCTTATTGTACGAACAGTGGTTTTCAAACACAAAGATAATCTATCAAGGGACTCAGATTTAAATAATCCTTGTCTTCCAGGAGCATCAGGACTAGATATAAAGATGAAGACTTTATGAGTGGATCTCACAGTCATTCACTTTCAATCTAGCTAGATTCTGAACTAAACAGAAAATCTGTCTAGGCATTTCACTGTGCTATATTTTTGGTGGTGGTTCTTATATTTCTATCATCAACATTTACAAACTATCTTTCCCACTTTGGCCTGAGATTTTGTTCAAACCACTGTGTTTTTAAGAAAACTAAAAATTCATGTGTGCCCCACTTTTTAGTGTAACCTCCAAGTACGAGAGACTTTTGTCATACTTACAGAAGTGCCGTTTAGTTAAAAATAGGACACATCCCTGAAAAGAGACAACTGAGAGCTTTTTATTCATTTCAAAATGTTGCATATAGGTTAAAATGCACACTTTATTTCCCTTCTTGGGTTTATTTGTGATGTTAAGAAAGGGAATGATTTTCAGGGAAACAGAAGTTACTATTAAAAAACAACCAAACTTTAAATGAACCCATTACATTCAAAGGAGTTAGAGACATTTGGGCAGATGAGTGAATCTATTGATATTTTAAGAATCATATTTTCATATTATATATGGGTGTCTTTTATGAAGCAATCAACATACAGTTTTAGTACCATTAATTATTGTAATGGGGATGTTTTCCTTATTTTGGTAATTTGAACTGGCTTATTGACTACCAGTAAATCTCAGCAGAATTATTGCTGCACGGTGTTTATATTGCATGTCACTATATCACCACAGGACAGTGTCATCCGTAAGTCATTCATCATAAAGCAATCAAGGGAAGCCACAGCATGATGAAGCTTGCTGTTAAGTCCCATGCTTTTTAGTTGCTACAACATCGCCTTCCCCAATTTTTCAGTCCTTTGATTCATGAGGGCCAGTCTCTCAGACATGGCACAGTTACACCCCTAAGATATGAATATATTTTACTTTCAAGTTTGACAAGAGGTTACACCTGACCCTTTACGGATTTTTATGTTTTCAAAAAGAAGCCACACCTCATCTCCCAACCCCACAAAATGATTTTGAAAGTATATGCAGAGAATAATATCTCTTAATGAATGCTTATGAAAAAATAAATAAATAAAAATTTAAAAAACAGTGGGACTTCCCTGGCAGTCCAGTGGTTAAGACTCTGCGCTCCCGATGCAGGGGGCACGGGTTTGATCCCTGGTCGGGGAACTAAGATCCCACATGCCCTGTGGTGTGGCCAAAAAAATTAATAAAAATTTAAAGCTAGGGCACCACCTCACTTTAGAAATAATCAGTTTTGTTGTTGATACCTCATTTTGTCCAGGTGCTCTCCATGTTGGTAAAAGAGTTAATTTATACATATAAAATCATATGGATGGGAAGGGAAATTGGTGGTGTGAGGCAAATTGACAGAGAGGTTAGCTATAACACTTGGAAATAAACATTAGTAGAATGTACCAAACTATTTCCCACAATCCAGTACAACGCTGTAAAGCCCAAGGCTGCCTTATTGTATTCAATAAACTGTTATAAGAGCTCTCAGCCTGCCTAGAAGATAGCAGTTAATCTTTTTCCAGATACTTACAAAGAAAATTCCCCTAAATTCTCAAAAGAAATATGATTTAAGATGTTTAGAATGAAATGGATCATGACCGTAATTAGTAGAAGAATAGTCATTCATTCATTCTTTGAACAAATTATTCAGCACTTCCCTGGGCTGAGTACTAGACAGCAGAGTGGGTAATGAAATGAATTCTATAACTAAGCAGAAATGGTCAAAGTAAAGGTATGCCTTTTCTATCCAATACTTCACAAACTATGTTACATCTCAAAAAGGAGAAAAGCAACTTTGTGTCTCTTTCCTTTGTGTCTCTTCTGCAAGCCAAGCAATTGTACGAAGATTCCAGTGTCAAGGTGGGGGACTGGTGGTGATAACAGAAGAAAAACTCAGAAATCCATAATACAGACAATGCACGTTACCTTAGAACTGCTTGAAGATAAAGAGCATGCTATTAAGACTTTAGAACTTTCTAAAATCTTTGAGATTTTTGTCATGAAATTTTTCTTTTTCAGAATTTGTATTGAGGATTTAGAACTACTTATATCATGGAACTTGGGGTATAGGTCTCCTATGCCTGCAGCTCAACAAAACTTGAGCTAAGACATCCAATTGGCTAGCCCTCTATGTCAGTCTCTGTCATGTTTGCATAGGATAGGAATTTCCTAGAAGGTGGAGGTGAAGGCAAATATGGAGGAGCCTCAAGAAGGAAGACTTGATCTAGATGGACTAGGACAGAAAGCAAGGAATTGTAATTAAGAATTATATTTATCAGTGAAAAATTCTAAACCACCTCTCTTAGAGCCTGGACTGAAAATGGTCTAGTTTCAGAAATTGCAGCCAATCATAGGATATTCTTTAATACTCACTGGTATGCTGATTTGGGGACTTAATACTGTCATCTGTTGGAATAAGATTTATGAAGATAATAAAAATAGCTAACGTTTACTGAATGCTAGCTATATGCCAACACTGTTTCTAAATACTTTATCAACTAATTTCTTAGAAGACTTTTTTAGTATAATTTTGATTATTATCACCATTTTATAGATGAGAAGACTGAGGCACAAAGCGGTTAAATAACGAGTACAAGGCCACACAGCTAGTATGTAGGGCATTAGCAGAGTATGAGGAGATGACATTGATCAGAGAAGTCTCCTATTTTATCTTGGCTTTCTTGATGATCAAACTTACCTGTGTGTTCCTTGGCCAAAAGGTAAAATTTTACATATGGAAGACTCAGCCTCTTGCTAATATGATAATAGAATCATACTTTCCATTACAAGCTTTGTGAATGTAATTTTGTCACAATTGCAATTCAACATTGGGAAATAATGTATATAGGTACATACATACATACAAGATTTTTCAAGGACAGACAAACCCAAATTTTGTATCATGTCAAACCTGAAAATATATGTGGCAGATTTGAAAATCTTCAAAAAATATCCAATACTAGAGGTTATGGAGTATGATTAAAACATAAAAATGTATGAAAAGTCTTGTCCAGTAATGGTTTTGCTAGAATTAGCTTATTTTTTTTTCTGTTATCTGTTAGTTTAAATTCTACACTAGCACAATGTGAGGTATATGGTATATGCTGAATAAATATTAGTTTCCTGTCTTCCAGAAGAAGCCATGTTGGTATTATAAGAATCAGTGATAATGATTAACAGGTTTCTTGGAAAACAAATGCTGTCCAGTTTAGGATATACTATTGGAGCAGTTTGTGAAAATGACTTTGTACTGAGGGAATTTTCATTTTCAGTATTATGAAAACAAATAAAAGAAAACCAAATATCCTTTCTGAGAAAATGTTCCATTTTTAAAGACAAAATGAAACTGTTGAAAACTGGGAAACCGTCATGAGGTTATCAGTAATAAGACAGGAGAGAGCATTCCAGCATTGCTTTCATTTTGCAAAATCATCTGTCACAGAAAAGTAGTTTGAATTGTCTGTCTTGTTTTCAATTTTTCCAAAATATATTCAGACAAAATAGCTTGAATTGGTTATCTTGTTTTTCGATTTTGTTCCCGATTTATTTCTGATTATAGCCTTTTTTTGAATTTAGATGCTCTCTCTTTGGGGGAATGAATAGCATTATGCTTAATCTTCTCTTGCCTCTCCAACATGAATGCAGAAAACTTCCCAGCATGATAAATTATTTTTCTCATAGAGCCCTTCTCATTTTCTTCCAGGCTGTTCTGAGCCTCTGGGGATGAAATCAGGACACATACAGGACTATCAGATCACTGCTTCCAGCATCTTCAGAACTCTCAATATGGACATGTTCACTTGGGAACCAAGGAAAGCTCGGCTGGACAAGCAGGGCAAAGTGAATGCCTGGACCTCCGGCCACAATGACCAGTCACAATGGTTACAGGTAATATTTTCTAAAAATGTCTCACTATCCACTTTTCCTCTTCCTTAGAAGATTTCCTGCTGGTTAGATAAATATCAGAGTCATTATCTTCATACTGGTTTAAATGCGCCTTCCTCTGTGGCTTAACTAAATGGGTAAAACAAAAATTCCTTATGAATCTGTTTTCATGTTCTATTTTTACTCTGATGTTGATTTATAGATGCTACTGTCAGACTGATGCAGCAGGGTGGACCAAATCACACTACATATAGGTCAATTTGATTGATTATGAGAGGATTTGCATTTTAACTCTCATCTATTCTAATGCTTTGTGTCAATATTGGTTTGAAAGCATCACAGCAGGAATCCAAACCGCCTTGAAATCATGCCACTGACCAGCAGATTCTTCCCATAGAATCATGACTCATGACTTATTAGCTTTTTATCTGTGGTTGCTAAGCAATGGAGCAATTTGATTACATTCTCATAAGAAAGCTTGCTTGAAGAAGGAAAGCATAGACATTGCAGTCTGTTTATCATTTGCAAATGAGGTAAGATTATAGTCAGTGCTTCTTAAAACAACCTTCCTGAAGCGCACTTATTTGTGGAGTACTTTTAAGTATGACTTTTAAGTATGAACAAATTTGTTAATGTCTTCTGTAGCAAAGAAAAGTAAGACAGCTTAATTCTATAATGAGGTCATTTTATTTGAAAGATGTGTTCTCCTCTTATTGATTTTTATGCTGCATGTATGAGTTTCAAAACTGTGGTAATTCATTGTATTTCTGGAAATCATGAAAACAATTACAATAGCAAATGTCACCCCTCATCAAACCAGATTTGCCACATGTAAAACTGTTCTTACCAAGTCACCTGAAATTTCCAATAGTCTCTTCTTTCTTGACCCTAGTTTTCCCTATTCTTACAGAAATATTCACTTTTTTTCTTTACTGTCCCCTGACATTCTACCTGGATCTTTATTGATCTGAAGCTTTATTTAGTTCTTTCATTACCATACATAATGGTTAATTATGTCTTTCTCCTTTTACTGTCCTGTGAACTTTTTGAAGGTAGGCTTTATACATATATATATATATATATATATATATATATATATATGTATATATGTAATACAGGACATATTTCTCATCCCAGAACCCAGCCTCATGTCCTTGCCTATATGTAGCAGTACTACTAAATTAAATCATTCATTTGACAAATGTTTGTGATATACCTCTGAAGCGTCACATACCATGATAAATAGCGATGGCACATGAGTGAGCAACACACTATTCTTGCTCCTAAGACATTACCTGTTTCATAAACCATTCCTTTTATTTGGTTTGCAGGACACCACACTTTGTTTTTCTTCATCCTTCTAGCCGCTGCTTCCCACTGTCCTCCAGGCCACCCTTCCTCTGCCTGTTATCTTCCTGACAACCTCATTTTCACCAACTCCACACACTCACATTAGCCAATTTAGTGAGTACTATTTATTTCAACTACTGAAAAAAGGATTCAACTTCTCTAAAATTCTTTTTCTTCTCACCATCCCCACTGCCACTTCCAGCATCTGGTCTGCCACCCTCTTTCACCTTGGTTTTTGCAGAAGCCTCCTAACCAGCCTTCTGGTTTCTGGTCTGACTCTCTAAAAACCTGTTTCCCAAATTGTAACCTGTGTGATTTTTTTTTTTTCCCTAAAATGTAGATGTGATTCTTTTACTCCTTTATTTAAACCCTTCAGTTGTTCCCCATCAGCCTCAGAATCAAGTGCAGCTTCCTTAAGATAGCCTCAAAATCTTGGCGTGATTTGGCCTCAATTCACCTCTTACCACACTTCTAAATTTGCTTCAGTTTCTCAAACCATACATTACCTCTCTCTTCCCCTTCCGTTATAAATGTGCTCTTCCTAGAGGAAAAGAATGGAGAGAGCACCTCTGCCCAGAGCATCCCCAACCTTCTGTTGGTTAAATCCTTCAACTATAGTTTAGATGCACTTTCCTCTGGGAAGGATTTGCTGCCAGCTCCATCCCACACTAAATCTGGCTTAAGTTCTCTTCTGGATACTACTGTGTCCCCTGTAATTCTCTCACTGTCACATTATCACACTCTATTGGAAGTTGTGTCTTCATGCTACATTATTTGCTCCAGGAGGGATGGAACCACATTTGCCTTTTTCTACTTTCTCAGTCTGTTGTCCAGTACCTAACTAAATACCTGTCACAATACCTGACATGTGGTAGGCATTCAATAAGTACTGTTTTTGTTTTACTGAAGTATAGTTGATTTACAATATTGTGCTAGGTTCATGTCTACAGCACAGTGAACATATATATATATATTCTTTTTCAGATTATTTTCCCTTATAGGTTATTATAAAGTAATGAGTATAGTTCCCTGTGCTATATAGTAGGTCCTTGTTGGTTATCTATTTTATATATAGTAGCGTGTATATATTAATTCCAACCTCCTAATTTATCCCTCCCCCATCCCTTTCCTCTTTGGTAACCACAGGTTTGTTTTCTATGTCTGTGGGTCTATTTCTGTTTTGTAAATAAGTTCATTTGTATCTTTGTCTTTGTTCTAGATTCCATATATAAACGACATCATATGATATTTGTCTTTCTGTGTCTGGCTTACTTCACTTAATATGATAACCTCTATGTCCATACATGTTGCTGCAAATAGCATTACTTCATGCTTTATGGCTATTTTCCATTGTATGTATGTACCACATCTTGTTTATCCATTCATCTGACGATAGACATTTAGGTTGTTTCCATATCTTGGCTATTGTAAATAGTGCTGCAGTGAACATTGTGGTGCATGTATCTTTTCGAATTATAGTTTTCTCCAGATATATGCCCAGGAGTAGGATTGCAGGATCATATGGTAACTGTAAGTTTAGTTTTTTAGGGTACCTCCATACTGTTTTCCATAGTGGCTGTACCAATTTACATTCCCACAATAAGTACCGTTGAATGAAAGAATGAGTGAATCGATCAAAGTACTATTCAATTTAGTGATTTGGGCCTAAAATGCATATAATTTCCTCCCCAATTTAAGAGATCAACTGCTAATATCCTCAAAATTTTAAGTAATATTTGAAAAAGAAATCTAAAATTTCATATTAAAGGTCTGGCCTTTTTAATAAAGGAACTAAATTTTCATAATCGATAGGCTTTATGAACTTTTCAAGTTCTTAATTAGAAGAAACCAGGGAAAATATCCTTTCCGTTTGTTAGACTTGAATGGTGAAGTTAAACTTGTTCTTTGTTGCTGTATAATATTTTTAGAATTGAAAACATTTCAGTCATATCTCAGATTAGCTGGGTGTGGCTAATATTATTTGTGAATCATAATGCCATGTGGAATAAGACAAAATATTTTACACCCCATAAGTAACTCAGACAGGCTGGTAGACTCTAGAAATACCCACATTACGGTATTGCCAATGGCAAATTTCTTTAGAAAGATCAAAATAAAACCAAGTATTTTTACATGAATCAGGGTGTAATGTTCAATGCAAACCTTCATCCATCACTTTTTTTTTTTCTAATTTATTTATTTTTGGCTGTGTTGGGCCTTCATTTCTGTGCGAGGGCTTTCTCTAGTTGTGGCGAGCGGGGGCCACTCTTTATGGCGGTGCACGGGCCACTCACTATCACGGCCTCTCTTGTTGCGGAGCACAGGCTCCAGACGCGCAGGCTCAGTAGTTGTGGCTCACGGGCCTAGTTGCTCCACGGCATGTGGGATCTCCCCAGACCAGGGCTCGAACCCGTGTCCCCTGCATCAGCAGGCGGACTCTCAACCACTGTGCCACCAGGGAAGGCTCCATCACTTTTTTTTTTTTTTTTTTTTTTGCGGTACACGGGCCTCTCACTGTTGTGGCGTCTCCCGTTGCGGAGCACAGGCTCCGGACGCGCAGGCTAAGCGGCCATGGCTCACGGGCCCAGCCGCTCCGCGGCATGTGGGATCCTCCCGGACCGGGGCACGAACCTGTGTTCCCTGCATTGGCAGGTGGACTCTCAACCACTGTGCCACCAGGGAAGCCCCCCCATCACTTTTTTTAAGATGTCTTCTTAAGTCACTTGCATGCTGAAATTGATTCATTCTGTTGGTGACAGATTTTCTGTCAATTCAAGGACCAGTTGTTCGTAGTATATGTCTATTTTTTGTTGTGTCAAAACATATTCAGAATCTCCAAGGCAAGGTGAATTGACATCTTTATTTATTTGCATTTTTTCGTTTTTGACATCATGCAAGAAAATGCTCCAGAATTGACAGTTTTTAGTGTTTTCTCCTCAAGAGAGTAGAATCTGTTCAACTGTACATTGTTACACTTGTTAGTATCTTTGTTGAAAATAAGATTAATATTTTCATAGGTAATTTATAGGGTGATTTCTTTTTAATTTTTGGTATAGAATCAATTTTTATCCTTATTTAAGCCTTCTGAACTTATAAATTTTGGCTGTGATCTTAACTAGAATGCATCAGTTCTGAGAAATAGCATGGCTGCCATTTAAATCCTCTTTCTTCCTTATCGGTCTCCTACTAATTATTTTTTAAGAAATTTCTTTTATATGCCAACTATACACGTAACTCTTTAATAATGAGAATTTTATTTCAGTTTGATAGTTTTTTCCAAAACCCGATCATATAGTATCTGGAAATACAATTGTTGAAAATGAAACCAAAAAAAAAAAATCCTTTACCCAATTGTGATATATTTTAAGGAATCTTTATGCATTCTTTTAAGGAATTCTTATGTATTCAAATATCACTTTAACATTTTATTCTTATTATTCCTCTAATGTTTCTTCCAGTCTCTTCTCTAAGGTCAAAATCTCAGAAGTTTCTTAAGGAAATGTTCTTGTGAGTTTTTTTAGGAGTGATCTTACCTAACTGATTAGTTTCCTTGAGCTACTGTTAATCATGAAATCATTATGCTATTCCTATATGAAGATGGCAAAAATGTGTTAAGTCCACAGGCATTCGTAAGCGAGAGGCATTTCTCAGAC